TTTCTGTAAGGCTTGTGAAAGGTCGTCTGTAATTGAAAGAATTTCAAAAATAAAATGGAGACTGAACACAAATTGAAAATCTTACATAGTGTCCATCTGTCTTATGGCCATTGATTTTTGCTGTAAACTTATGTCGTCTTCTGATATATTCTCAAGAACATCTATGATCGCATTAAACATACTAATAAAGCGAGTAACTGTCTTTAGATGTGACCCCCATCTAGTATCACCTGGGCGTGCCAAGCTCATTTCTTGAAGCTGACCAGTTCCACCAAAAAGTTCCTCAATATTAAGCCTCTCTAGAATTACAACATGATAACTTGTTGGAAGAGCATCTACATGTTTACATGATGCACTAACCAAATTCACAATAATAGCAAGCATGTTAAATAAATCACTAAGCATAAAATTCCTATGTGTCACAGAAACAACTATCAACTGAAGCTGGTGAGCAAATCAATAAATATACATAGCACATGGATTCTCTCTTAAAATTAAAGCTTTTAAGCCATTGAACTCACCTGACATATTGCTTGCTCCATCATAACCTTGACTTCTCAGACTAGATATGCTCAACCAATTTGTAGAAAACATTGCATCAATGGCATCCTTGAGTGATTGGGCACAAGTATCAGCGATGTGGCAAATGCCCAACAAACGCTCCTTCACTTGCCTACTTTTGTCAACAAACCTCAAAACAACTGCCATTTGTTCTTTTATAGAATTATCACGAGACTCATCAACCAAAATTGAAAACAAGTAATCGCTCATCTCATTGATCATAAACCTTGTCGTCTCTACAGCACAACAATTAACTAAATCCTTATGGATACTTGGTGAAGTCATTTGGTCATTTCCAGGAGCATTACTAAATAGTAATTCATTAATTTTCTTACGACGAGCTGCATACCAATTTAGTAGCTCAACCAGATTTCCTTTATTAAGAGACTCTTTCGATTCATCATGACCACGAGATGACAATCCTTGCATCAAGAGGAATTTAGTATAGTCTAGCACTGCAGTCAACCTTGTCCTATAATTTTTTTGCTGACTACTACTTTGGCTAGAAATAAAAAGGGAGATACTTGGTTTTTGATTCATCAAATTGGTACACTTTACAAAAGCTTGATTATGAGCACTATCAACGAGCCCGACATGATCTTTCAATGTACTTTTGTGCTTCCAATCCCTAAAGCCAGTCTTAGTGAATATATGTCCACCCCTTGACCCCCTCTATCTAGTTTGAATAAGTAGTAATGCAAACAATAAGCCGCATCATTTTCTATACTGTACTCGAACCAATAAAATTCAGAAAACCATTCTATTCGAAAACACTTGTTATCATTTCCTATCCGTCTTCTTGGAAAGTCATGTCCATGTGGTTGACAAGGACCTTTTTGCAAATATGTCGTCCTAACATCATCTTTGATATTAGGATCATATGATTCGATAAGGGAGCGTTTTCCTGGATCAAATATAAGATCATCTACATTGAATTGAGCCCGAGACTTCTTTGTGCTATTTAACAATTCGAGTGCTCGGCTAGAAGCAGTGGCGGGACTAGAAGCACAACTAAAACTAGGAGAACTAGGTATAGACTTTCGTTTCGATTGAAAAAATCGTTCCATAATCTACAAAATGCCCCACTTTAATTTTCAATTACAATTGATTAAAAAATCAACAATTCAACAAAAAAATCCCTATGAGTTAGATAGTAACGTATTAGAAAAATCAAACCCTAAAAAATTAGTCAAAGCAGCAAAGTTGCCTAAACAATCATCTAGGTAGTAAATCACCGATTTCATTAGATCTTCAGAATACACTTTCCTTGACATAATTGATATCAGTTAATAGTTATGACTAATCAAAGCTTTGCCACAAAACCCTATCCCTAGAACCATTTATATTCAACAAAGTGGCTGTTATATACTTATATTCATACCATTTTCATTTGCATACAGCTCAATCGACAATACAATATGATCTCCTCCACTGCTGACTTATGACTTATGAGATAAATTTTGAAAATACAAAAAAGTGTAAACCACTAAACCTTCAATAGCCATTCAAAATGCAGGCAGCCATCAAGAAAACAAACAATAAAGTATCTTATCAAATGAGAACCCCAGAAGAGAAAGTAACATCCGGACTGAATTGACAGCAAACCTACGTACCTCCAATTTAACATTGCAATTTATTCCCATTTTTCATTCGATATTTTGTTAAGACCCAACTCCTAGACACCAATTGTGTGTTTGGTTAGGTGGACTACACAATATTTAGACAATAGTAAACACAAAAATAAGTTAAAAATTTATTTTCTTGTCTATTCTATTGACCAATCTTATCCAGTACAATAGCATTAAAGAAGAAAATAAATTAAAATCTAGTCCAATGTCCATTGTATTGTCCAAACAGGTCATAAATGTTAATATTTCCCAACAAAATACTGGGCTTCTTTCTGTTCTTCACACGAGGATGCCGATGCAGTAGTGCAGAGTGCAGTACAATAGCATTTTCAACTCATTCACTTCGAAGTTCACATAATCGGTAATCACTTTAATAAATTCCCACAAGTATTGCAAAATATATAAAAATATGAAAAATTTAAGAAAAATTTTAGAGCTGGAGCCTGGAGTTGCAGACTTGCAGCCAAAATGAAATCCAAGATTTTTGGAAAATTAGATCAATATCACATGCACGAATCACCGAACATCAAATAACTAAAAGTCTAAAAGAATCTTGAATTTTTTGAAGAGGAGTGTGACCTGTGTGGGCTGCCTGCTTCACTGCTGCGGCCTGCGATAGTGGTGGACCGGTGGACCGATGGTTGACGGCTAAGACGGGGAGAGCCCTAGATTGGTAAATGGTAATGGTGGGTGGTGGCAATTTGAGGAAAAATCTGGGAATCTTCAATCTGGTCACCGCGTCTCTGCTTCGGGTGTAAAAATCTGGGTATATGGTATGGAGTGGAGGTGGAGCAGGCTGCAGGTCATTTGGGTTTCTTTAATTGGGCCGGATTTAAAAAAAAAAATTGAAGCCCAACAGCCAACAACCCAACACCCAAGCCAACAGTTACGACTCACGACACTGATGACTGAACTCTGAAGGAAAAAAAAAGACTCTCCGATGGCCGACGTGGCAGTTTCGGTGAAGCCAGCTAGGGCGGCCGCATTATGTTATTCTTCATCTTCCTTTTATGCTACAATAGTCACATACCAATATGTGGTTCTACATATATAATTTAGATGTCTAGTGCACATTCTGAACAATTACTCAGTCATTATTTTATCATTGATGTGTGGTAAATAGAATTTTTTTTTCTTTTGTTTTGGGAATGACAAACAGGGTAAAAACCCGAGATGGTGGTGATGCCATTCTTGAAGTTTCTCTACAACGAGAAAGTCTATACAAGCATGTTGAGTCACTTAGCAATGAAAAACTAGATGTACTTATAATTAGTCTTCTCAAATGTTGATTCTGATATTGACTCTCCTATGCTGCAAAGAACCCCTGACAAGGAGAAGTATCATGTGTCTATTGAGAGAAACCATGGACGCCTAATTAAAAGGTTTCCCTATCCTTACTTTGAGAAGTATTTAGATACAATAGAATTTATAAAGAATGATAGGTTAGAACTAAGTACAACCTTACATCTTCCACTGAATTACCAATTATTCTAGAGATGGATCCCTTCCATGTCTAGTATGGTCTTACGCTGAAGAGTTAGCTATTTAAGTTCATAATGGAATAATCTATTTTCTCTCATTATCTTCCCTCATTTGAATAGTAAGATGGCTTGAAAATTTTCTCTCCTTTGTTCATTTAAGATTCTATCTAGCTTATGTTGCACGACTATTAGTCTTCTCATTGCCAACTCCAGTATCCTTTTAATGTAATTAAAATTGCTCTCCAAACTTGCAAGTTTTTCTATATTACCTGAGCTATAGATACCTATCATCCTTGAGGGTGATGTAAAGGCATATGATATGAATGATAATACTTCGAAGGTGTCATTTTGTATCAATTAATTAGTTAAAGATCTATACTTAATTTCTTTTTAT